GGAGGGAACTGAAAGGTGAGCGCTGTGAGGCGGGTACGGCGGGAGAGCAGTGCTGGAGGGATGAGGGGGGTGAGGAGAGTGGGCTGGAGGCGGCGGGTGGTTTAAATAATGTGTCGGGGATGGGTGGAGAGCTGGGTGAGAGGAGTGGTGCTGGGTGTAGCCTTCCTGTGCCCAGGGAGGGGTGTGCCAGGATGACTGGCGTGTGTCCGGCAGGCTCTGATAGGCAGACGGCTCATACCTGGACGGCGGCAGCGGAGGCTGTCTGTAGTAGGTGTCCCAGCTGGGTAGAGCTTTGGTTCGGTGGTGATGGTGCGATGTAGAGAGGTGTTCGTACAGATGTGAGTCTGACACACTCTCTGCTCGTGTGGGGGCCAGGCAGCGGCCAAGAGGGGAGCCAGGGGGGTGAGGGTTGGACTGGGGCAGAGAGTGGTAGTCACCTGGGCAGCTGGAGCGTGCAGCCAGCGGTTGGTGCTGGAGGTGAGGGGGTAACGGGTAGAGAGGGCGCTTTGGGGGAGCCTCTGGTGGAGGCTGATCGTGAGCACAGCTCTGCCCACGTGCCACACTCAGGTGGTAGCCGTGCATTCCGGTATTAGACGAGTGGCTGTGTTGGATATTTGTGTAATCGGCAGGATGAAGGCCACAAAGTTCATGGTTTGATGGGGCGTGATGGGGATACAGCCGGCTGTGGGGATTAGCAAAATGGACGCTGTCTTCCAGTAAGGTATCTTGGGGGCATCCGGGACACGGCCTCTCGCTGTACGAGTCGCAGCTGCTACCGCAACTCACGCTGCTTTCGCTGCCGCATTCGGAGCCCGCTGAGCCCATTGAGCCCAGCCGCAGGTCTGTGTCATTGGGGAAGCGACAGTCTGGGCTCCGCCTGGAGGAGAGGCTCAGGCCGGAGTAGGCACGCGTTACTGAGTAGTAGCTTAAGTCTGGAGACTCACAGTGAGGGTAAAGGTCATGGCTGGGGGCTGGTAGACTATGAGGGGTCGCTGCTCTGGACTGTTGGTCCTGGGGAAGGCTGAGACTGGATGGAGGGCCGCTTCCTGGGGCTGGGGACATGGTAATACTCCCACTGCAACTACTGCTACTGCTGTTGCCACACATAGTGCTCTTCTGGCTCTCTGCCCTCCCTTTCGCCAGCAGCTTCTCCTCAGCATCGCTGTACGACAGAGCTCGGATGCTAGGGTCCGACTGCCTTTTTGGAGCGCCTTTTTTCGCCTCGATGCTGCCAGCTGGCACACTGTGGCTCTTCACCAGCCCAGTGTCCCCCTGGTTCTTTGTGGTGACACAGGTCTTGGCACTGGCACGCAGCTCATCAGCCACGGCACGCTGAGGCTGAGCACCTCTTTCTGGGTGGTAGTACTTACACTTGTGACCATAAGTGCACTTCTTTCCTAGAGCAAATAGATAGAAGGTCTCAGTTTCATCCCAATATAAATATACAGAAGCTCCCAACAAACATTATACAACATAACAATATGACAATATGTAATCTGCACAATCCAACAACACACATACATAATTTTATCAGTCAGATTGGCATTTGTGGAGCATTTGTTTGTACTTAAAAAGGGAAAAGAGTAATTTATTGGATGACTTTTTATAAAACAGATTTTTATTAACCCAAATAGTACACGTTAACTGAGAAATAAAATGCAATGTTATTCTGTAATATGCTTTAATGTTCTCACCATATGGGCAAGGCTGTTTCTTCTGCTCAGGCATGATCGGTCTTTTCCTCAGGAAGTTGTCTAAGCTGGGGCCATGGCGACCAAGAGGGTCATCTGGGGGCATGAACCTGAGAGACGAGGTACAATGGACTGTGATTCTCCTTTTAAGTGAAAATGCTACACCAAATGTCAGATTTGATGGGAATGAGATATGAAAGATGATCTGTAACTAAGATCTCGGAGTTTAAAATGAAATGTTGCTATTCTTTTGACACCAAGTCATCAAGATCAATCATATTTCACAAACTCTCCCTCACTAATCCACCTCTACTTACTTGTCATTGACAAAGGAATACATCAGCAGCCTCTCATCGATGAACTTCTTCCACTCAGGCTTCTCATTAGCCAGATCTCTGTAGTTATCGTTGGAGACAATGATGCCGTCTGACTCATAGGCCAGCTTGACAATGAATCGGTCGTCATAGCAAACCACACGGCGACCTTGGACGCGCCGCGAAGGAGTGAAGACTAGGATCTTTTCCTTCTCCAGGCGACGCAAGATCTCCTGATCTGTGTGTAGGAGGGGGAGAGTTATGGGTTGAGAAAAAACGCTGTCCTAGAATAACCTTTATTGGACGTGTGTGTTTGTGTCAGACAGCCTCCTGCACTGACCTGTTATAGGGGCATCGGGGCGGGACTGCTCTTTCCGCCACGCAGGCACAAACACCGTGATGTCATGATGGCCACGCTCTACGAACCAATCTACAGCCAGCTGGATGCCCTGGCAGGAAAACACTTCCTTGTTGCCATGGCTTCAGGACATAGTTAAGAGGCAGAAGGGAATAGCGAATTAACATTTGGGGTTTTAAAGTATGTGTGTACAGTAATTTTTTTCATGCTATGATGTGAACATCTGCTGTGTGGAATTAACAACACGTCTTCATTCAAACTCACCTCATGGCTACATTGCTACCGTCCACCACAATGGGCCGCAGGTTGTCCTGGTCACACAGAGAGTCTGAAGGACAGGGCGAGTCCGACCTCTGGCTATCCAGCAAATCAGTACAGCCACAAGAGGAAGAGGAGGACGAAGAAGATGAGGTAGAGGCTAATGATCCAGCCGGCTGCTCGCTGTCGGACTTGGTGCCCAGTTTGACCAGCTCTCCCAGTATGTCATTGATGAGCGTGTCAGGGCCGAGCTTGGACAGCACCAGTCGCACCGTCTCCTCAGAGTAGCCCAGCTTCAGGGCGAACTCCAGCTTAGCCTGGTACTCCTTCCCACCGGCCTCGGACGCTGGCTCTGACGTGGAGGGATCGGACGGAGGCTCGGGTGGGTGCTTGCGTGGGGTGCTGGGTGAGGACTGGGCAGGGGTGTCGTGTTCAAGCTCTGGCGAGAGTTCGGACGGGGGCTCGGGAGGACCCTCAGTGCCTAAGTCCACACACTGGGTCCGACAAAGTGGCTGGTGGGCGTTCTTGCTGTGAGTCGACCCTCCCTCTCCTCCGTCCGGGTCAGGGCCGGCAGCGAGGGTGGCGCTGGAAGGCGGCGCCGGCTCGCACTCTACATCAGACCCAGTGTTTTCCGGTGGAGGGGAACTGGCGGTGCTGCAGTTGCCGGAGCTCTCCCCCTGCTCCTCCATAGCGGGGGGCACGTCAGCACCGCCAGCCTGCCGGTCAGCCCCTGCTACGTGGAGATACTCCAAATCCAGCCCCAGGTCGAGGATGTGGCCTGCTCCTGCCTCCACATGGTCCTTCTGGCCCATGGATCTGTCACAGACATCCAGCACACGGGGCCGACTGCTGCCGTCTCACAAAGCTCGACTCATTGGTGCCTAAAGAGACGGAAAGGAGGATGGAGTGAGTAGGAGATACACACTATACTATATAAGCCCCAAATCCAGTAGGGGTGTTAAAAATATCGTTTTGTGATATTGTCTATCTCAAAAACACTGCTTAAACCCTTTAAAGTTAACTTTTTTTACCTTAAAAACTTGTAAAATGTTACAATATATTGAATCGTAACCCATGTTTCGTGATATGTATCGCATCTCTCATCTCTTGCCAATACTACACTACAACTAACGATTATTTTCATTATCGATCAATCATTGTCTCGATTAATCGATTATTCGTTTGGGCCAGAAAATGGTGGAAAATGGTGAAAAAAGGTTGATTACTGTTTCCCAAAGCCCAAGGTGACTGGCTCAAATGTCCTGATGGCCAACATAATTAAGTTGATAATTAAGAATAATAATGAAACCATGAAATGAAATACAACTAGAAAATTTTACATTTTCTTTTCAGCACTGGTAACCAAATGAAAATGACACAGTCACTGAGGTGACTCATAATGTGAGGCCTCCAGGGAAACTGGATAAACCCCTGAAGTGCTCAAACTACCATTTGGGTGATGATATGAGTCTGATGTCTGTTACAAAAGCAAACAGTCCGCTGCCGGGGAAATCATTTACAAAGTGAGAATTTGCCTTCAGGCTGTGTCATTGCATGATAATTTTGAGTCAACACTGACTGCCATTTCAGGAAAATGTTTTCTTTTCACCTTCATTTTCCTGGGAAAAAAATTTGCCTAAGCCTTCATAGCGCTGTAAGGCCCTAAGCTGATGTTTATACTGGCTCTAACTGGCTGTTGCGGGCAGTTGGGGACTCTGCAGAGTCACAGACTGGCCGACACAAAGAGCCGCCGGGGCCTCTCACCCTAATTAATGGACTCCCGCGTTTTTAGTCTGGCCCCAGTGTGTTTTTATAAGGCCACGCCACAGCACATTAATCTAAAGGGGGAACAGAGGGTGAACCGTTTAAAAAAGAGACAGCAAGCCGTTAGCGATGAGGCCGACAGACCCTTCCCCCCCTCACATTCTACCTGGTAATTAAGGTCCATATGCTTCTTCCCACTGGGGTGGAGGAGTCACTCATTAAAACACCGAGGGGCTCCGAGGCCACCGGGCCAATCAACACACCGCATTCAAGAACCAAGGACATGGGATCTGGTTAGGCTAATCTGATTGCGGTCAAAGGTTTAGCTGCACACAAATTACAGGGAGCACTTTGGAAAGTTAATCTGAGATCATGAAACTGATATGTTAATCTCTAGACACAAAATTACAGGCCTAGTGTATTCTGAGTGGACCAATTTAAGTCTCCATGAAATCTCAGCTTACTGATGTCTTTGGAAGTCTCAGTATTTATGGTATTCCATCCAAAAAAAAAACTACCTCTAGGGATAAATATTTTTGCGTGTCTTTGAACAAACGGTTTAGTAAACCCACCAGAGACAACAGCATTAGCAAATTGTACAAAGGTAAATTCACAGTTGAACACAGAGCTCTTCAATCTGGTTGGATTTAGCTTACAACCCAGAAAACAAACTCAAGCCAACGTTATCTGGACAAAACAGATGATGGAAGGGGAAGTGACTTAAAGATGGTGGGTGGGAAGGAGGACGGGGGGGGTAGGGTGTGTGAGGGAGGGGGGTGGGGTGGAGTGAGTTCGCATTTTATGAAAAA